CCTCCACCAACCAGTCCAGAGAATGTGCAGGAGACAGAGCCTGCGGTTTATTTTCTTTATCCGATAGGACTGGAACGTCTAACCAATCGCAGATGTCATAGCAAAGTCAGCACGTAAACCTCAACCTACCGCAAGGCATTCTGGTGCTCTACAACCTGAGCTAACCTGGCGGCGGTAGCTTATATATAAGTTTGTTTCATTTCTTGTCTTTTCCTTCCCACCTTTTCCGTTCCTACCCTTCCTTTCCTTTACTTTCTATAATTTACTTTACTTTCCTTTACTCTTCTTTAATGTGCTTTTGATTACTTTTTTTTTCTTTCTTTTTTCCTTTCTATTTTCCTTTTCCTTTTGTTTTTCTCTTTTCCTTTCGTTTTTCTCTTTTCCTTCCATTTTCAATTTTAACTCCTTTTTTGGTTCACTATAATAAACAAAATGCGTAATTATTTACTTACCTTCCAAAACGGCCGAAACATTGAAACTGAATCCCCTGTCGGAATAATATCCATCTGACTGGAATTTGACGTACAAAAGCTGTCCAGTAGAATAAACAACCTCGGGAGGTACTTCTCCACAATATGATCCAAGAAGATTAGACAGACTAGTGGTGTTACCATCATAGAACTCAAGTTTGTCTTCACAAACAAGATACCCGCCTTGTACTAAATGAAGGCTATTGAATGTCACCTTCAATATAAAACCAACGGATGGAAGATCACTGACAACTTCAATTAACCAATTACATTCCAAGTTATTAGTGTAATTCATAGGATAGTTTGGACTCGTGATAGTCGTGTTGTGCCATCTGGAGGCAGTGATTCTTTGCGGAACAATGGAACAACCTGGAAAAAAGGTTGATTATAACTTTTTAATATCACCATTGCGCAGTGGTATTACACATCGATATTCCTATCCTTGCAGTTTGCAGGAAGTTTGTCACCATGAACATGGTTAAACGGCTTGGTTTGCTATGAATCTCCAAAAGCTCACTGGTTGAGCGTTCGAAGTACTGATTGGAACTCACTGGTCTAACTCCAATTGAAGTTCTTTTCCTCCGAGTCTGTCTCTACCATTTATTGAAGAAAATAATCTTTCAACTTTTTAATGAGCTACTTGCAGAATAACTTAATTTCGGGTGTTCGACTGAAAACAATTTCATTGCACTCTTTGCTTCAAAAAGCAAGGTTTGCTTGTGTGACACTTTCCTGGATATACTTGTTCAAGGATTTCTGTACTTAGCAGCTATAAGGTGGTACGATTATTTCCGGAAGGATTTGTCTTGGATTAATTGTTTAGCTCTCTTCCTGTTTATAAAATTGATGCTGATTATCAGAAATAAATGTTCCAACTTACTGTTGTTCTGTGCAAATGAACCCAATGAGAACAAGGAAAGCGTCAATGAAACATAAACTGCAATAAAAACAGAAACCCAAAAATATCGTGAGGGTCAAATTTCAGGTCATGCACAGTAGTAGTACAAGAGTAAAAAAATAATAATATGATAAAATAATAATAGATAATATATTAGGTAGTCTGTCCGCTGGTCGTCATGACTAGCGCTGCAAGACGCGAGTCTTACTCAGTCGATATAGAAGCTTTGGAATTCCAGCCAATCACAGCTGAGCAGAATTGTTTTTAAGGTAACGTTTACCTGCAGTCGACCATATCGCCTAAGTGAGACTCGCCGTAAGCAGTCGAAACGTTGCGATGCATAGTCAGAAGTAACTTCATCGCGAGACAAACGATTACATTTTCAGTTACTCTCTTTTTCTTGAGGGTTCATGGGCATATGGCCTATTTGAGGGAATCGAAATCTCGTGATTGATGTCTTAACGGTGTCTTATCGATCATTTCATCGAAAATATTCAATCACGAAACTACTTTCTTTGTGTAATTAAACAACTACCATGTCAATGAGTTGAAAACAGAAAGTCGCAGCAGAAAAATGAACAACTGCAATTTCTACCTTATTTTATCTTACAGGTAAATAAGATTCTCAAGTCAAGGAAATACTAACGCAGTAGGATAACGATGGAAATTTTAGGGGTCACTTGAGATGACAGACGGGAAGAGAAAGACAAAATTTAGTGACCCCAATGTACGGAATTTTGAAGAACCTCGGATAACAAAATGTCACACGTTTGAATACCACGTTTATTCGCTTGATTTGTAAACCAATTCAGATTTGTTTTATTTTTTTTAGACAGAATTTCTAGTTCAGATAAAACTGAACCAAGCGGTTCCGTGCAGGAAACTTATTTGCATATTTCTCTAAACATGTCTCGATCACTTTGGAATAAATTATAGATGTGGCAAATCTGTTGACAGCATTTCATCCAGGGCATGTTGCTTATAATTAGCCAAATTTTTACGTCGCTTCGATGCTCGATTTTTTAGTAGCAATGGGATTTAAGGATCGTCTTGATTCCCGTTCATACACGTCGTTTTTCAAGTTAAATAATGTTTTTGTTCACGACGGTTTCTTCGTTTTTTATTACATTTAATAATGTCAATGTCGACTTATTTTTTCCCTTTCTACTGGTAAGCCATGTTACTGTACGGCTCACCTCAACAAAGGTACGCTCTCTTGGGTCCTTTCATTCAAAGGGTTTTTTTTTTCACAGTTTTTACATTCAAATTGAATGAAGGAGAAGCCATATGATTATGGAGCCTTGGAAAGCATATTTAATTTGGCACGCCGCACGAAACAACAGCTGCCGAACGCACTCACTGTCCATCGTAGGAAATATACCAAAAGGCTTGACCGAATGTATACTCGACTTACCTAGAATAATCATTGCTTTGTCGATTGCCATGGGAGATTCGACGAATGGAGACTTCACTGTGTTAAGTCATTCATTTGCAGGATTTTGTTGCATGTTATTATTGTGCCAGCGGTCGCTCATAAATTATAGGGAAGGCAATAACATTGAAATTGCGTGATGTTTCCTAAAATTATGTATCAAGTTGTTCCATACGCTCGAGACTTTCTACCTATCAAGTTTTTTTAACAACTGTTTCTTTAAGCCCTGGGGGACGAACTACGGCCACAGCCGTAGAAAATTACATCACCCTATTTTTGTTGCTATTTAAAGCAAGCCCGTGGGGAACTGAGGCTATTTATGCATTAAACCGCTGGATAATAAAATGAGGCTCATTATCAGCGAAAAGAGCTCTTCGAAACATCGAAATACGAATTTTCCCGAATTTTTTACTCCAGTTGTTGCCGATATCGCGTCTGCCATTTAAATATGGCGTCGCAAAAAAATTAGTAAGACATCTGTTAGCGAAAAGGATCGAAATGGCGGCTGCAGAATCGATGGGATTAACTTTTGTGGACGAAGATGACTTGCCTTTAGCATTTCTGCGAATCGCCCACGTGGATTCTGACCATGAAGCGCCTTCCGATGTCGATAGCAGCGATGAAGAGGAAAACAGCGATGACGAGGAGCAAAACTACTCCAATATGAGATGGAAATCTACTATACAACCCCCAGAAGGCATAAATTTTCGCGAAGAGGTTGGTATGAGGGTAGAAATGGACAATGACAGTAATTGTTTAGATTACTTCCAACTTCTGTTTACTGACAATGTTTATCAACTGATTATCAAACGGTTTGAGCATCAAAAACGGCAGCTTGAGGACAATTCCCTGGGTGATCTCCACGATTTTACCCTTCCAGAGCTAAAGGCTTGGCTTGGGCTCACATTGGCAATGGGTCTTGTCAAAAAAAGCAATTTGAAAGCTTACTGGTCAACTGATTCGGTCACCAAAACTCCACTGTTTTCTAGCACCATGTCAAGAGATCGCTACCTTCACATTCTGAGATATCTTCACTTGGAGCGCTACCACACACTGCAGAGTTATCTTTTTGATGACCCCAGTAGAAATGGTCCCAAGAGACTCAAAGACAGTCGTGGCAGACCACTTCAAAGGAGATCAAGATGATTTTATGTTTCCTTTGATCAAAACATTAATTTACTTAGCGAGGTTTAAGGTTGATTCAAGTGAACACTAAAATGATTTTGAGACTACTGATTGACATCACGTTTGCAACTAAATATGGTTAAAAGAAGAACAGTAGTGTTTTATTTTGTGCTAGCAAAAGTGTTCTGTGTATATAGAACTTGATATTGTGTACAGTTATTGTGTTGACAAAATTTTCACTTCAGTTCTGTTCTCTAATTTGAGGACGGTTTGGGAAAAAATCTGTTTTATTACCTTTCTGGATTTTTCATATTTTTTCTGTAAGACACATGTATTAGTTCATTGCACCAAATGAAAGTGCAAAATCTCCTCTTTCTAAAAATGTTAGTTTTATTGTTTTCTGCCTTATTAAAAAAATTTGGTGGCCTAATTAGTAATGTCATGTCATCAATTGAGTCAAAAAACCCCCACCCCCTCAGTCCCCCAGGGGTTTAAAAAAAAAACCCTTGCCTACAGCTACCGCTGAATGTACCATGAACCGATGAAATGAGGCAAGTGATCAGCGTGAGTACAGGCATAGCTGGGATAAGTTTGGCCCAAGATCTCATTAGTAATTCTCCTCACTGTCTTCCATACAACTCTTGTGATATTAGTTTTGAGAATGTGGTATTGGACTAATAATAATAACTAATAATCTCCTAATGTATGTTTTTTTTTTATTCTTGTCATTTATCTGCTTGACATCGGTCACTCATGGGAGCCAAAGGCCAGTTAAATGGGCATGGTGACTTACCTTTTAATGTGTTTTTTTTTGTTTAATGCATTTTTCGAAGAAAAGTTTGGTGGGTAACATTTAAAGAAATTCAGAAGAAAATTTTGTCATAATTTTTTTTCCGAGGAATCCCCTCAAGCGCTCGTTTTACCCAAGGTATTTACTCAAATTCTTCAGCCTTAATCTTCGATTTCTATGCGAAGAGTTCTCCAACTGTTTCTAAAAAAAAACAATTTTATGAACTCATGATGGTGCACACGATTCATACTGTTGCCATGGATACGACTGTCCTGGAGGTGGATACTATGGAACTGCTTCCTCTCCAGGGTAGAGTGGTGGTGATTCCGGTTGATATGGGTACTCTGGGGGTGGTGGATAGTTATCAAAGGGTGCGGCAGCATAACCAACTGGAGGGTGTTGGTTAGAATATGATGCTAATCGGAAAGGAGGTTCAACTTCCGGCTGTTGAGGTAGAGTTGGTAAGGTGTCTCACACCTGGTTGTGGGGAACAGGAAACTGAACTAGTAAATGTGGACATAGGAATACCAGCAGCTGCTGTATGATTTGGTCTCTCCTGTCTGCGTTTTACAAGAAAATATATCAGAACATTAAAACAGGCAACTAAGACGACCAAGCTGACAGTGACAGCTGTACTAAATGCCGAATCTGGAGGAGGAGCAAAATTCCCAACAAAGCAATTGAGATAACAGCCCTGTGACAGATAAGGAAATCCCTTAATAAGTTGTGAAAAAACTACTCATTCTGAATATATCTATACATATTAACAAGAAATAGATGGATATGTTGAAAAGCAACTTCCTGCGATAACTAGGATTGAATTTTACGATCCAGACATTTTTGACAACTTAATTGTTCCAGCAAGCAAATAAAAAAAAAACTGTTTGATCTTCACTTGGCGTACTTATTGTAGCAAAAGAAAAATTTCTTTCTGACCTTGTTATAACTAAGCGCCTTCCGAGGTTAGAGCCTCAGCTTTCTAAGGGATATTACTGACTAAGAGACAAGATTAAGCTACTTATTTGTTTTGTCCTCTGCATTGTAAGTGGCCGTGAAACCATTGTAAGCAATCTCACAATTCAATCCGCTGAAATGATGTGCCGACTATGCGATTATGGCGGAAAACCCATAATAATCATCAGCATGTACTAAAACAATGGATAGCATTGAAGGTGTTTTCTGCCGATTTTATTGTGGGGATTGCGCAGCTTGATAACTGTTACAACCATAGAACTGTCCCTAAACTTACCACCAACTCCGTATGCAGTTCCTGGTATCCGGGAAGCAAATATAAAAACTGTAAAAGAAAATTATGGAAAAGGTACGGCTAATAAAAAAAAATTTGATTGGTCGAACTGTAGGCAGGGAATTCGGACATAACCAAATACTTCAGACTTGTGCAACACTTAGTCAAATTAAAACTAAGTAGGGGAAACTCTCTAACGGATAAATAAAGGTACTCCAATTATTAACATTAATTGTTTTTTATGCAAAACTGTAACTGAAAAAAAAAAATAAAAACAAACTATCTAGCCGATGAATCATTGGATAAAAAAGTAGTCGGAACTAAATCAGACAAACTCCTGCAGCGTTAGCTATCAATCTAAAATCGCCTAATATTTCATTTTTTTTTTGAAAATGCGTTTTAGAGTCTTATGAGACTGATATAAATAGACCTCAAAATCTAATGGAGACTGCTTAAACTGAAGCATATTTGTTACATATTAGAGCTGATCAAAAGTTTATAGATCCTACTTAACTTTTCCGTTTTAAATCAACTTATTGTATTTTCGATCAGTTCGTCAAATTGTTTGCTTCACCCAACCCTCAGTCCATAATTTCAAGGTTTTTCAATTGATTGCGATTACTCTGTCACTACGATATTCAATATGAAAAGAAGATATATTCACTGGGAAAAAATGAGGGGCAGGGGGCCTGGTAGAACTTTTACTCTACTTCCTCTAAAAATCTCCCCTACCACCCCTTCCTTGTCACAAACATCGTGAATAAATTCGAAATTTCACAATCGGTGCTGTTATGTTCAATTGACTATAATACAAAAGATCCAGCCTGGGAGTGTCTATTTAGATTCATACGGTGTAATTTTCCTGCTGTTTACGACACAAATATTAGGTTTTTCAAAAAAAAAACAAACAAAAAGCTGCGTCGTTTCAACCAAACCATTCAGTTGAATGCACGCTACATTTACATGTTATTCTTCAGCTTTTAAAAGTGATGCGAAGGATTAAATATGGATGAAGACTGATGCGATCGAGCTATCGATAAAGTTTCCGAAATTAAACGAAATTATGCCGTAACTTTGTACCAGATCAATTACGGAATTTGCAAATTTATAAGAGCTATACTCACGTACAACGACGCTCAATCGGTTACGCTAACCATATATAAATATAGCGAAATCTGCGCAAAACCAAACATCAGTATCATTGTGCTTTTTTCTCACCAATAGTGAGTACTTTAAGGGCTTCAAGTATTTCTCCATTGAGACAAAAACTATACTTTTCACTAACACGTAGTTTTCTTCGATATTAATACTTCGAGTTTCATGTAACTTATTTACCATTGGATCACAGCTAAACTAAAATAATCACTCACGAAACATCGCGAAATTTTAGGATAGGAAATTCTACTTACCTATGAGAATGATGCATTCCCCAAATGCCATTCAGAAGTAGGCGATCTAAACAAACAGTATGGATTTTGCGGGTAGAGATCCTGAAATTCTTGGGTACGTAATTAACGTTTTGTGTAAAACACCACAGGACATCCAGCCACTAGATAGCGCTATATCCTCTTCTCTGGATCAAGTTGATTAAGAAACACGGGTCACATATTCGTGTTTCTTGTACGAGGGCGTCGCACGCACACATACTGAGCGAAAAGTTTGGATTCTCTAGGCTGAAAATTTGATGGAGACGCTGCTAAAATCATCGCCCTCCATATAATAATCTATTAAACTATCGATCTCCTTTTTGGGTCTGATACACATTTTTTCAAATTAGATGAGAAGAAATTTAACAGTTATGATAATAAAAAAAATTAAAAATAATCATAATCATAATCATAACGATGATAATAATAATAATAAAAAAGATAATAATGATGATAATAATAACAATTATGACAATAATAACAATAATGATAATAATAATAGTAGTGATAACGATAATAATAAAAATGATGATAATAATAATGATAATAACAATTATGACAATAATAACAATAATGATAATAATAATGATAACAATAAGAAGAATAATGATAACGATAATAATAATAATCATAATAAAATAATGATAATAATACTAATAATGATGACAATATCAGGATAATTTTGAGTGCCTCAGTCACACATGGAACTTGTTCCTATTTCACGATGATAAACAAGAATCTTATTAGATCTACATCTATATATTTTCAACAATTAAAGTTTTAGCATATTTTTTATTAACAATACAAATTTATGGCTTCGTCACGGAGTTGGCTACAGCCTGCACCGCCCAACTATCGTGCTTGGAATCTAGGCATCCAGAAGTTTTACACTGCCACAATGATGATAATAATGTTGATGTAAGAAATTTATACTGAGTAGGTTCTTGACACATATTTAACAGCGTCTTACAATGTACTATTGAAATAACGAATGAAGAAAGACGAGAAAAGTACAATTCCAAAGTTTTAAAAAGCAGTTCTACAATACATTACATTTCATATATAACTCACAGGACTCACTCATTAATTAAATAAAAGAAAATGACTAAATACTTTTCTATATATATACGTTTGAAAGGAGCTAACATTTTCGGAAGGAGCGAGTAAAGAAACTGAGGAAAATAGTGACGCCAGGATTCCAAATATTACATTTATTATTTTAGCAGACGAACAGTAAAATTCTAGGAATCAATTCTACCTACTGGGGCTCTTTACAGTGTTTATCATGCCGCATTTAATAATTTCTGAAAGATGAGTGGCTTCACTTTGGTAAAGACATTCGTTAAGACTGTCGAAACGTGTCAGCTAACGTCAGTCTCCACCATCGTCTCAGACCCTTGCAGGTCTACTTTCACCCAGACAATCAGACAACACAATCAATGGATGAGTTGCCAATAATTAAATCCTTTTGTTTGCGCAAAGGTTTCTGGGATCGCCTCGTGGCTGTAAAGAAATGCATGACGAAAGGTTGTTTGACGTCCAAAAAACTAGTTTGGGGGGAGATTATCGCTTTTTCGCCGCTCTTCTATCAGAAATGGATTTGGGTAATCGATACAAGGGAAGCGTAAGTTTTTGATTGAACAAGCTTGATATATGTAGCAAAATCTACCAATTAACATTCCTCCATGAGCAAAAGCAAGGTTTATTGTGAAACTGACGTCGCTTTATAGTCTCGAAATTTGGAAATATTTGCTATAAATCGCCAAGAAATAAATCAATAAGCTTTCTCAGCTTTTATGACGTGTGCTAAGTCTATTTCTCGCTCATTTTTTCTTGGCTTGCTAATACTGACAAAAAAGCGCTACAACAGCTACCTCGAGACAGTAGGAGATTGAAGTGTCGACAGATGGTGAGCTTGAGCATTAAGTATCGTCGTCAGATACATTTAAGCGATGGAACACCTACACTACTTCTCTGTTGTGATCAATGAGAACGAACCAGCGTTGATAATCGACTCAAAACTGAACCATTTCTTCTGCGACAGTGAGTAGGTACAAATGGGTCGCTTAAGGAGCGATGTACAACTGATATATCCACAGAAAAGACTTAAATGAGTTATTTCATAGAGATTTATGGCTAATTTTGTAAAACGTCGAGACCGTTACGCGATGACGATTTCACAATAAACCTTACACAAGGAGAGAAATTCATTGGTATATTTCGTAAAAATACAAACACAAACTTACACGTTCCTCGAATCAACATGATCTTTATCCATTTATGATAAAGCTGCGGCGAAAAAGCATTGATCTCCCTCTACAATTGTCTTTTTGGACATGGAAACAACCTTGCCCCATAAATTTCTGTATAACGAGTAGCAATGTTTGCCCCGTGGCGATCCTAGAAATCTTTGCGCAAACACAAGGATCCGATTACTGGCAGCTCATTCATTGCAATTACTCCTTGCCTTAGACCTTAAACCATAAATGTTTTGTCATGACCTCTAATTAGGGACCAGTCTTTATCTATCAGCTGGGAGGGCGGAATCGGAGAATTGGGGGCAGGGGGAGGACCAGATGCTTTTCAGGGGAAAAGAGGAGGGTCAGTCGTCGCCAACAGGGTATAACGAGAGGACCATAGAAAATTGGCTGCCAATTAACGGCCAATAAGTATCATACGAATATAAAAAAGCCTTGTGAGGGGATTAGGTAAATTCAGACGAGACCCAACCAAGACTGTCCTAGCATTATGTTCTTCTTAAACAGAAAAAGACTCCGATATGTTTTCAGGTTTCCCGACCAAAAAAGAGTCCAAAATAAACATTTACCTTATCAAACCGTTAGTAATCATGTAGGTTAAAGATTTACCAGACTACTTGAAAAATATAAATGAAATGACAAAAACCGACCTACTTCGAACAACCCGTACCGTGTTTTCATATGGAACCTCTGCGAAAGAAAATATATGTCTCAGCCACGTCAGACAAGAGTGGGCCTAGAAACAAGTTAATTCATCTTTCCCCAAATTTTCTTCTGTAAGGCCAAGCTGAGGACTTGGGATAGCTGTCTATAGTTTTGGTCAGCTGGCACATCGCCTTATTTTTCTCTCGTGGTCATCGGTTTCTATCCTTTGATTGTTGTTTATTTTATAATTCTCTACAAGTGTTACCACCGCATCAAACACTTTGTTTGGATAGTGAACAATATCATTGTCCAATGTACCCTCCGGATACGAGTGGGTCATCGGATACACGTCTATGACATCGAAACCCGCTTGACACATGGCTGTGATGGCGTACGCGCTGAACAGGAGAACTCGCTGAAATAAAAATAGAATCAGATAGAAATAAGGTGGCTCGTGAAAGTTTACATAGAATGAAATGGTTGAAATCGAGGATAAGTACCTATACCAATTCAAGATTATCATCACAGATGTTGCACAGCAATGTGCATCGATACATAGGTGATGTCACCCCATTACACGGTCGCCCCAAGTGGAGTTTCGTCGCTCCGAAATATAGTTGCCTCGCTCCCAACCTTTGAGTCTAAATAAGGTTTCAAACGTATTTAGGGGGGCGACGTCATCTGTTATCATAGGGTACAAACCTGCGGTGTGAGGAATCTCTTATCTGTTGGGTTGTGGTACCTTTGCTTATGCTTACATAAGGCTGTAGTTGATTTCCAAATGACCCTCGCTTTTAACTTTAGAACTTCCTTGCCTTGTGAGTCAATTGTTTTCTCTTTCAACAAGTCTATTACGTCTCCAATGACCCTCTGAAAAGTTGTGAAATTGACGCTTCGGGTATAATGAAGTCCAAGGTTTAAAAGCAGTACACTGGATGGTTGCTGTAAGTCTGTCGTATTAAGAACGCTGCGTATGGCATTTAAGACTATCTCCGGACGAAAGTCGAGGTTATCCCGTGTATTGTTGACTGGTTTATCATTCCTGGTTGGATAGAGCCAGTTATAACTGTTTTTGCAGTTGGAGTAGAGCTTTGTGCACAGGTCACGAGAGCGGATTGAATTAAACAGCCTAAGTCCTAATGAATCACCGTACACCCAGAAAGTACCAGAAGAGCTGTAGTTTTCTGGTAAGGACCAGTCGTATGATTCTGTTCAAAGGAAAAGTGGACTCAACGTCAGTATCGAAGCAATCACACACTTACCCCTCCCCTGACCAAACAACAGTCAACTGACAACAAGTTCGGGTTGGGGTTAAAACTACAGGTACAACTTTAATTAGTAATGTTGTTTCTGGAAAGCTATCCAAATCTAGACTAGTGCTATGCCTACCAAAAGAGGGTTATATAAGTAATTTTCACTTTTTACAGTACATTCTTCATTTAATTCTTGCTTCTAAACCCTATCACAACCCAATGCTGGTAAAGTAGATTAAATGCTGGAAAAACCAACATTTCAAATTCTAATTCTAACTGGAAAGAGTGGACAAGATGAGCCACCTCGTAGAATGTCCGATGCTAAATACTCGTTATCGTTATTGCTATTAATCGATATTATCATTATCATTATTACCATCGTAATCAACATTAAGGCTATTATTAATTTCTATTCGAATGGAAACTCTCCCCTTTCTACTCTCCCCTCTCCCCTTGTTCATCCTATGTCAATTAGCTTATGGTAGGTGAGTTCTAACCTTCGAGGTATGGCCGCCATTTGTCATTCTTCCACCGACCAAATCCATCCCACAAGTTATTGCACGTGGAAGAACACGACTGTATACGATAGCTTTAAAATAAGTGGCGAGAGTAATCCGAGATTGTATTGCTTTTGCTTTACCTTGCGACGTAAATGATCCAGAAAACTCGCATCACTTTCTTAAACCAATAAATTAACTAAAGCTCAAAGCAATCGTGAATTGTTCAATCGCGTTTTCTTGCAATTGAAGCTGTTTTCGTGTTTTTACATTAAGCTCTCACTGGCGTTCATCTTGTTGAGATTACTCTGGTTTGGTTTTAAAATAGACTCATTCTCAACGCGCTCGAAGCGACTCATTTTCAAAGCGTTCGCCTTTATTTCTGTCAAGTTACTTACCGGCTAATGACACGATCGTATCTGTTGTTTCTACGGTTATCTCGAGATGTGTTCCGCTCTGAAAGGGCTGTGCCAAGTAATCAACCAGGGGGCCTAGAAGATTTCTCGGTTGAAATTTCCCATGAACGTTCCCCTTAATGAACCAATCAGGTGGAGGGTCCCTGAATCCATCGCACAGACTATAGTCAAGGTGAATCAACAGTTGATAGATACCAGGCTCCATAATAAGAAACAGAGCTTCATAAGTTCCATTATTGTGATCAAAAACAGTCGCTGCAATGCTCGATGGGCCACGTAGGTTGACCCTCCAGGTGTCTCCACCAATTACTTTCGCTCTATTGTCGGTTGTTTTTGATTGGATGAAAATCTTACTGTACTCTCCAGCAGGCCTGATGTCCTGAAATGTTATCTCACTTGTTGAGGCGTCGGTTCTGTTAGCTATTTCCCAGCCATCCTTCACTTTTCCCCAGGCCATATTGTCGTAACACGGTTTGATTATGGCCTGCCAGTCCGAGCGCGCACGATGCTGACGTAGCCACTCACGACAGAAATCGGCGATTTTATTTGCTTCGTTCGTTTTTGCAATAAAACGAAATGGTGGGTGGTTTATGAGGAGAGTTGAAGTAATAGTATATAACACCAACAAGCCAAAAACGAGGGCAATTCGCCGTAAGGGAAGATATTTAACAAAGGACAAACGTTCCATTGGCGCTGTAAATTTAACACCTCAGTTGAATGACGAATTCCCGTTGAAACTGCAAAGAGAAGTAGAATTCTTAGTAAATTTATAATAAATAAATAAATAATAGATAAAATAATAAATAATAAATAAAATAGTAAATTCTTAATAAAAATAAATTAGACTTAAAATATTTGAATTGGCTCACTGTAAGTGATATCTTTCTTCTGTTGAATTTGTAAGCAGAGAAAAATGACGGAAACATTTTGTGACAGAACCACTAATGTCCGTGGAAAAAAAATAGGTTGTTTTGTACGCTAATAAATTCTTGATCTTTTTCTTTTTCTCCATGACGTTACTACAGTGAGGTGTTCACGCATATTTTTCATCATTTCAGCTTCTCTTGCCATTGAAAGCATATCCTGCTTCGTAAAAGGTTTTTGGCTCGTTTTATCCATTTTTTGTACGTTTTGCAATAAACTCAACCGGCTGTCTCTACATATGTATGTCCTGTCCAACGTTCTAATTAAACCCATCTTCTCGGCCCCGTGTTAAAACTTATGGAGCCTTTCAGTGTCATGACTACTAAGAAGAGTATATGAACTGTTTATAATCTCTTGCTACCCTTCTAGTTTCTAAAACTAAGCCCTCTAAATCACCAAATTATGCATCTCCTATTCCATAGTTTGTGTTTGTCCTTCTTCGTAAAGTAATAAAATGTGCTATTATTTTTATGAAGAGATTGTGTCTCATCTATTCGTAATGGTGTATACTGGAAATGTTGTAGCCAATAATGCTCAAAGGCGCACTATCGTCCAGGACGGTTTCTAACTCGGAAAATGGTTTTTAATCATTTTCCAAGTTGTTGTCATAACCCAAAAGCCACTCCTTAGCACCTCTCCAGTTTCCTGTTTATTATTTGGTCAAAATCACTGACTAACGCATAGGGCTTGTTAATATTCTTTCTTCTTGGGGATCCTGTATGGGGCTTAACTGCTAACGGTGAAATGATCAAACTTTTCACTGCCTACTGAGAAATCACGTGGCTTTTTTAATTACAACCAGCAAAATCTATCAATGGATGTAAAATGGGCTGACAGCAAACGTACTTTGAAAAGTTTTGCACACTTATTGCGTATTTGAGACGCTCGAACAAATATGACATTCGAGGGCGAGATAGCAGTCCAACATTCAGAATTTAAAGGCCTTTTTCATAAACTTTTTCGATTTCGAAATTAAAAACTCGATCGCTGAAAAACACAAAATCTAAGAACTGTACCTACAATAATCAAAACCCTCATTTTATGTACTTTAAAATCAGGAACACAAAAAGAAACGAGCGGAATGCTGTGATAATCAGCCTCTCAAATGCTAATTATTGTGCAATATATATTCAGTGTGTCAAAGATATATTCCATTGACACCAAAGATTTAACATGCTCTAAGGGTGTTTTTTTACACAAGGTTTCAATTCGTTTTCTTCATAGAAGCTGCTTTAAACCGATGTTTGTCGACTTCAAATTTAGCGGATCGGAAATACAAGGAAAAATTCAATTTTCAGTTCTTTGTTTCTGATTTTCATTCAGCAAAACGAGGTCTAATCTAACATGTTTGCTTGGTGTAAATGAGGTTATGGAGATACATTAAGACGAGAAATTGTAAACGGGTTGTAAACAGTTTATCATCTCGTGATTAAGAGTAACCTTGAAAACACCTGATTCGATCCCAAGACCTCTCTTATAGAAGGCAAAGTCAAGTAGTATCCGTAATGCGCTTTACTTTCCAGGGGCAGGCCTCAAGTCCTGGCCTAAAGTCAACTTAGTAGCCTGGATATCTCACATCTTCATTATTCATTTTCCAGGTTGAGTTGTTTTGATCCTTGTTTCATTAAAACCATCAAGTCCAAGGTGACACCGGATTTGCTTTCCCGAATAGGAGCAATAGCGAGCTTCCAATAGCGAGTCTCCGGAAATGGTGTTGCCAGATTTCTATTCGACACACAGTTTCGGCCTCAGCCAGCTATGGAACAGGTCACACCGAAATTAAAATCGTGGCATCGGTCCCCATGGCGAGCTTTGCTCAAGAAAAATATTCTCATTAGGGTACGAGGTTCATTACTGCTACATTTCAACCGTAAATTTTAATGTTCTCTGGAGGATTATACAATAGAAGGTGCGATCGAGCTTTCGATGAAATGGTGCTGCCAGATTTTTATTTGACGTACAGTTTTTTCCTCAGCCATCTATGGAGCAGGTAACACCGAAATTGGAATCGTGGCATCGGTCTCCATGGAGAGCTTTGATCAAGAAAAATTTTCTTTTTAGGGTACGAGATTAAAATCGTGGCATCGGTCCCCATGGCGAGCTTTGCTCAAGAAAAATATTCTCATTAGGGTACGAGGTTCATTACTGCTATATTTCAACCGTAAATTTTAATGTTCTCTGGAGGATTATACAATAGAAGGTGCGATCGAGCTTTCGATGAAATGGTGCTGCCAGATTTTTATTTGACGTACAGTTTTTTCCTCAGCCATCTATGGAGCAGGTAACACCGAAATTGGAATCGTGGCATCGGTCTCCATGGAGAGCTTTGATCAAGAAAAATATTCTTTTTAGGGTACGAGGTTCATTACTGCTACATTTCAACCGTAAATTTTAATGTTTTCTGGAGGATTATACAAGAGGAGGTGAAATAATGATATCATGTCGTAAATTGATCAGACCAATTTCAGACACAACCGATATACATTAGCTTGAGTAACGACGCTTGCACGTTTACAACGATGTTCAATCAATTATATCAATCGTGAATAAATAAAGAATCAAAATCTCTATAAAACTAAACACAAGTATCAACGTACTCTATTTCCATGTATATTGGGTGCATTTAGCGCCTCATCTATTTCCTTATAGAGGGAAAAAAAACTATAAAACGCCTACTGAAGTCAAATTTCTCTGGTAAAGGAAAAAAAAGTGAGTACCGTAGGTTCAAAATCTTTTTACAACAGTTAAATGAAAATAAAAATTAATAATGAAAAAATGGGAAAAAATTGTTCACCGGAATAACGCCACTGTGAACAAACCTTACATAGTCCATTTTACAGTTACGTATTTGATTACCGCGCCTTTGAAAAGGAGCGAGGCTAAGGCTGACCTTGTTAGGATACAAACGTTGCTGCTTTTCAAATGTAAATTACTCTGTTATCATGGTAACTAGATACTGGTCTCTATCACAACAAGATCACCTTCCGCCTCACTCCAAATTAAAGGCTTGGAAACCAATTACACAACTGTAGAATGGCCTATTAAACCAGAAGGCATCATTACATGTTGGGTACATATTTTTTGCACAAAAGACAAAGCTCTCGTTGTTTTAAGGGTGAACAACGCTATCCTCTGGATAAATCGCCATTCGGTGGATAACGCAGTACTTTATGTCAACATGGAAAGGGTAATCCGCCTTTTCAACAACTGAACCCAGGTGGATGATCTCTCCACTTTAACAAGCTTAAAAGCATCACAAAGACACTGCTGTTGGCAGTGTTGGCAAACGTATGTGATATGAAAGTGCCCTATGGCAAATATGTCTCGCTTGGTGCGAATTTCACCACTAGTGGGGCTTACAGAAATGTCCTAATTGGTGTTTTAAATATTGTTTGCTAAGGTACCAAATCACGTTAAAATACGTCTTAAAAGGTCGAAATTCTACTAAGAAACTAATTTCTAGGTTTTTTGAAATGGTACATTTTTGTTTGCTCTCATTCTACTAAAAGCGCTTATTTTAATACTTTTGCATTAATCCTCTCTGTACAAACAATTTTCCACTCCATTTATAGAGTGAAACAAAACCTATGCTTCCTTTGGGGGTGCGGACGGTTCGACTTCTGAACTCTGTTGCCATGGATAAGACTGTCCTGGAGGTGGATACTGAGGAACTGGTTCCTCGCCAGGGTAGGGTGGTGGGGGCTGCAACGGATACGGGTACCCTGGAGGTGGCGGATATGCGTTGGGCGCCGTAGGAACAAAACCCACAGAAGGGGGTGGGTAAGGATTTGATGCCGGTTGAAAAGGAGGTTGGATTGCCGGTTGCTGAGGCGGGGGTGGATGGCGAATCACGCCAGCTTGTGTGGTCTGAGACACTGCGGTAGTAGTCTGTGTCGCCATTGGAATCCGAGCGGCCCTTGATTGATTCGGTCTCGTCTGCTTGTATTTTGCAACACACACCACAACACAAATGCAGACGATGAAAACAACCACACCGACAGTGATGGCGACAATAATCTTAGAAGACCCTGGAGCTAAAAGAAGATTAATAATCATGTGAAACTTATTCCAACCTCATATGTTCTTATCGCAGCTCCTTTTAAAATTTCCCTCTCTTAATTTTATCAACAATTTTATTAGATAATCAGTTTACTTTTTTCGGTCTGCGTTTCTTTTATTTTTCTTTTGTTTCACCGAGAAGCAATCCAAATCCGCCTTCAAAGTCAGGGGCGACGCAATTTCAATTTGGAGAGGACGCAACCACATTTCGGGACGACGGAACTTCACTCGGGGGCGACAGGCTAGGGGGCGACCGAGAAAGAGGGCGACATCACCCACGACATGCTATTAAACACTAAACCCAAGTCTAACTTTTAATTCTCAAATTAGCCAGGGTCCAAAGTTGGATTCAACCAGCATTGAGTTAATGTGACTGGAAATAAACTGTTGGCGACAACGGCTCAGTTCTTGAAAGGATGGATGACGTTATCCCACGGATAAATCCCCATCCGGCGGATTAGAGTTAACTAAACGTACTGCACTTTCCACCAAACATTTATCTTAGGAGCCAGCTGGCAAATACCACTACGTCTTATGAAACGTCCTTCACGTCCTTTATAATAACCTCAACAAGTGAACAGTCACAACTAATAAAAAGATCTCAGTACAGAACTGCCTCTTAGACGTCACGATCTTGTTTTTACGAATCTGACGCTTTTTTTTG